GACTGGGAACTGAACTGTGATCTCCTGGTTCATAGGTTGACACTCAACCACTGAGCCATGCTGACCAGGCTGCCTCAAAAAATTTATATCAATTTGGCATCATTATGGCATTTTAATGTTATTGAACAAAAATAACACTCTGCAATGGATTTAATATTAAACAAAGATAATTGGGGAACTGTGAACATTATTTTTAGCAGTGAGATTGGCATTGTGGTTATGTGAAAGACAGAAAAAAGAAAGAATCCCTAGTTTTAAAGATACATGTGGAAATATTTACAGATGGGATAATGATGTCAGGATTTGCTTCAAAATAAATCAGAGAATGAAGAAGAAAGTAAGGAGTGAGCAAAGAGGTATAGATTAAACAGAGATGGCCATGAATTGATAGTTGTTCAAGGTGGAGGTGGGTATATGGAGATTAATTATACCTTTCTTTCTGGTTTTATGTATGTTAGAAAGATTCCATAAAATAAAAATACATTAAAAAATTAGAGATAAAAACCAACTGAAAACAAAACAGAAAAAGAGACAAAATTATGGAGATAATAAAGAATACAGATTTGAAGAAATCACACAAAACGTAAGGTAAAAGAACACAGGAATATAGATAATAGAAGATAGCTAAGTTTCTAAAGAAAAGAACATATGAACAGAGAAACAGTACAAGTAAAACACAACATTAACAACAACAAAACCCATATCTGGATACTGAAGCAGAAAAGCAAATCTCCACCAGAAAGGGAAAACACCCCCTCCAAAAACCTTGGGCTTCTCTGCCACACTCAATGTTAGAAATATAAAAATGACTACAGAATTCAGAGGGAAAGAAAGTACAGGTATAATAAAAACTAAACACTCAGCCAAGTTAAAAGTTAATGGATAGGCCACTTTCAAGTGGCAAGAATTTAAGGCTACAATACCAGAAATTGTTAAAAAATAAAAAACGGCTAGTTCTAGCTGATTTGGCTAAGTGGATAGAGCAGTGGTCGACAAACTCATTAGTCAACAGAGCCAAATATCAACAGTACAATGATTGAAATTTCTTTTGAGAGCCAAATTTTTTAAACTTAAACTATATAGGTAGGTACATTGTTATTAACTTAATTAGGGTACTCCTAAGCTGGCCTTTGCTAAAAAACGTCCTCAATCTGAGGGGTCGACCTCAGTGAACGTACCCCCACTTCTTCAAAATAGACTCGCCCAGGCCAAAAACCGACTTCTGTGCATGGGCCACGAAGTTTCAATCACACTGTACGTGCGTGCCCGCACGTGGTATTTTGTGGAAGAGCCACACTCAAGGGGCCAAAGAGCTGCATGTGGCTCGCGAGCCGCGGTTTGCCGACCACTGGGATAGAGCACTGACCTGCAGACTGAAGGGTCCTGGGTTGGATTCTGGTCAAGGGCACATGCTCGGGTTTTGGGCTCAATCCCCAGTAGGGGCCATGCAGGAGGCAGCTCATCAATGATTCTCTCTCATCATTGATGTTTCTCTCTCTCCTTCTCCTTTCCTCTCTGAAATCAATACAAACATCTAATCTAATAACAGACAAACAGGGTAATTGACCATACCTTCGCTACGCCTCCCATTGGCTAATCAGCGAGATATGCAAATTAACCGCCAACAAAGATGGCGGTTAATTTGCATATGCTGCTCCGGCAAAGGCACTGAAGGCGGCTCCGGCTGGAGCAGCGAAGGCACTGAAGGTGGCTCTGGCCGGAGCGAAGGCCTGGGTGCCGAGTGCCGGAGGAAAACCGGTGCTGGCAGCCAGAGGAAGGGAAGGCCTACTGCACGAATCTTTTCGTGCAACAGGCCTCTAGTATTAAAAATAAAATAAAATAAAAACGGCTAGATGACAAAGCTCAGCCATTCCAAGAATAAATCAAAATAAAAAAATTCAGGAATGGAGAAACTCTGATTAAAGGTCTTAAGATAAATAAATATAGAGTAAACATAGAGCCATAAGTATAAATGTTATAAACCTTTACAGAAGACAAATGAGAATATAAATAATGGGGTAGAGATAGGTTAAAATATAAGTATGTTTACTTCCCCATTTTTCATAGGGGGAGTTCATACTTTACTCCAAAGTTTAAACATGTAGTTAATAATGATAAACTCTGGAGTCTTACCTTTTGAAATCTTAGAGGCGGTTTTTACAAAAAGATTAATTTCTTTAAAATTAAAAAGTTCTGAAAATCTTTTATGATTCATTCATATAAGTACAGAAATTTAAATCCTAATTATGTTATAGACAAAAACAATTTCAGAGAGTAAAAATATAAGTATAATTAAATAACATATTTAAAGATAGAGGACAACACAAAAACTAGTTTAAATGTCTATTCTGATGTTCTTTGAAGTTCTATAGAAACAAAGTCAAATTTTAAAAAGGTTATCTTTAGTGATGTCCTACCAATCATAGGGTGCAATACAGAGAAAACAGCCTTAAGAATATAGTTAAGTCCTTACTGCAATTTTAAGCAAGATGACATATAAAGAAACCAATTTAACTACTGGCTGACATAAGCAAGAGTTAAGTTCCAACAGCATATTTCTGGTTACAAAAACATCATCAAATTTCTAAATTAAGACACAAAACACTTACTTTAGACATTGAAGTAAATGTGAGCTATACATACATTTAAAAAAGATTAATAAAAATAAGATGATTATTTCCCAACCTGCTTATTCCAGTTTAGGGTCACAGGTGGCCAGAGCCTATCTGCAGCTCATGGAGCAAGGAAGAACCAAACCTGGACAGGATGCCCTTCCACCTTAGGGCACACTCACGATTTAGACACCGATTAACCTAATATGCACATCTTTGGGACGTGGGAGGAAAACCAGAGCACTAGGAGAAAACCCATGCAAATATGGGGAGAACATGCAAACTCCACACAGACAGTGGCCCCAGCCTGGAATCTCCCTTGCCCCCTCATCCACATTACAACAAAACAACATTATGCGAGGACCTGCCATATCCTTGGAATAGAAGAACATTCTATCAAAGGATTTTAAAGGATTGTATCGCAATACTAAAACACACAACAGGCCCAACATATACTTACTTTATTTTGACCCTTCCCTTACAAATCTATATTATCTTAACAAATCTCTTCATTAATCCTTAATGGGAATATCTATCTGTAGCACTGCCTAGAATTGTTTAAAAACAGTTATGAAAATTTCAAACCCAAATTTATAAAAAATAATCTGTATGGGGGTGTGTGATGATGAATAAATGATGACGATGAACTTTAGTAAGTAAACATCATCATAGGTCTTTTAAAAATGAGGAAATTTATCCAGGTTAAAATTATCTTGGTACCTCAAATCATTTGTGAATGAGACCAGGGGCACGCATAAATATGGTACTTGAATAGTATGTAACTCTGGGGCAGTCTAAAGGCAACAAAGGCAAATAAATACTAGCATAGTATAGTTCCATTACAAAATAAGAGACCATTTAGGAACTATAACCAATGCAGGCCTCTAAGGGAGGGCAGACTCTCAAGATTCTTATGTTTTGACATCCTCTAAACCTTTGCTCAAATCCCCCAATTCCCACATCCTTGGAGAAAACAGTATAATTTGCAACACAATGTTAGTTTCTTTATTCTAGCTGGAAAGGGCAAGTGGTCATCTCCACTCTGCTTTTTTATCAACAGGTCCATGCTACAACCCAAGTTGTAAGTAAACTGTTTCTCTAAGGTTTCAGTTACCCCACAAATGATGACGAACTGAATGGTCTGAAACCATTTACCAGCAGTTCAAATCAGAACTTAATAAAAGGGTAACTTCTTATAGTCTAGTTCAGTTTTAAAAAGAGTTCTGCACTAGAGTTTTAGGTACAAATGATGAAAATAAAAAATTTCCTTCATTAACTGATAATTTGTGTAAGTGCATCCAATGTTCCCAAGTTGCTTGACTAATCTATACTAATAAAAGGGTAATATGCTAATTAGACCAGACGTCTTCTGGACATCCATCTGGACGTCCTTCCAGACAAAGCTACGGTGGCGGGGGCCAAGGCAGAGGCGGTTAGGGGCGACTAGGCCAGCAGGGGAGGGCAGTTAGGGGTGATCAGGCAGACAGGCAGGTGAGCAGTTAGGAGCCAGTGGTCCCAGATTGCAAGAGGGTGCAGGCCGGACTAAGGAACCCGCTTCCCCCTCCCCCTGTGCATGAATATTGTGCACCAGGCCTCTAGTACTATATAACAGAAACAAAACTTCACCATAATCCTATGTATCATCATGTCACCACCCACTCCTCTCCCATTTCATAAAAAATGTTGCCAATGCTGTAAGTAGGACTTGAAAATTACCTCAATGAAAATTAGACACTAAATGAAAAGAATATCCAACAGACATCCAAGAACATTATTTTGAAATTGTAGCCTAAGAGAGCTCAAAAAGGCTGTCCCTAGAAAATTGTGTAAAATGACATAGTAGTATTTAAAACATATTATCCATAGAGCTGCCTAATTAACTGCTGCATAACAATATTATAGCTAATATTTTATTATCACTGTATCTCTTACTAACATTATGCCAGTTAAAAAATTTTTAAGAGTAAAATGGAAGTCAAATTAATAATGTAACCATTACTTCTCAAAGTATAGTCGATAAACAACCTGTATTAAACTCACTTATGATGCTTATTAAAAATGCATATACTGGGTCTGATCCTTGAAAATTCTGATTTATAATATATGGATGATTTTTCTGCACACTTACATTTCAGAACTACTGGATTAGACATGAATCCTCTCAAATGTCACATCAATTCCCTAAGGACTCCATCTTTTCTACATGATTATAGTGTGAGAACCATAAATTTATAGAATATTGTATATTGATTTTAAAATATAATGTTGAAATTGCTTTTAAACCTATACCATATGATAGAAACAAATAATTTGGTGGTTATAAAATCTTGAAACCTATTTGAAATCTAACTAATATGAGATCAGCATTTCTATTAAAAACGTTCTTACCATGCCATGATCAAATGTGAACACACCAACATCACGTCCATGATGAATATGATTCCGTCTAATAATTGGGTTTCCATGATTTTTAACCCATATCCCAGCCAAAGCATTATTGGAAATTTCATTATCTTCATATATTCCCTACAACAAATAATCAGAAATAAACATTAGTAAAACTTGAAGAAATATTTTAAAAGAATAAAACCACAAAGTTAAAAAAATACCTGTGCATGATCTGTTATATAAAGTCCAACATTTTCACAGTCGCTGATATTACAGTGCTTGATAGTAGGACATGCTCCTTGACCACTGACACATACTGCAGAGCCAACTGTAAGAAAAATACTTTATTTAAAAACCTATTGGGCCACAACACAGAGACTCATTTTATAACAAAATATAAAGAAACACTAACCTGTACATGTACTTCTGATGATACAGTGATCAATAATAGGACTGCAATTTACTGTAATCTCTAAGCAGTGGTGTGCATTGTGGTGTTGAGCAGATTTGTCATCAGGGTTAAACTGCAAAGTAGAAATTTTGTTAAACAACCACTGCTTTAATAATTTCAACATATTATTTTAAATCTTAAAATTTCTTACCCTTATTGTCATATATCCAACATAAGCATCCTCAGAACCTTCCATAAAAACAAAGGTTGAATCTCTAGTGTTTTCAATTATAACTTTGTCTGCTACTTTTCCAGGTGCTGTGGAGAAGATATTTAAAGCATATTACCTTTATCAGACAGATGAAATAGAAATTTAAAAATAACTTTAAAAAAAAACACTTTAAAAATACAGTAATACTTTGCTACAAAACTAGTAATATAGAACATTTTTATTGTTTTAAGTTGGGTATTTTTTGGAGGAAGAACTTTTAAAAATTATTACTTTTAAATACTGAGAAGAGAGGACTAATACTCATTTAATTGATAACTATATTTCACTGGCCTTTACCACAGGCAGTCATATTTAATGTAGATATTATTTGAGTATCATATTGAAATCCATATATAATACTTCTAAGAAGGTTCAACTGCAAATAGTATTTAATATCCAAAAGAGACCTCTTTATTGACATTTATTTCCCAAACTGGCCTTAATTTGGAAAGTAATAAAAATCTATAGGCAGAAATTTTCTACACCCTCCCTCCTCACTTTTCTTCATGGTGGAAATGGGGGAGGAAAGCAGAAAGGGTAGTCAATGCAAACTTTATTAACAAGTAATAATTATTAGCCATCTTAAAATGGTCTATGTACTATATCCTTAAAAAATCAGAGAGCGCCCAGCTGGTGTGGCTCAGTGGTTGAACACTGACCTATGAACCAGAAGGTCACGGTTTGATTCCTGGTCAGGTCACATGCCCAGGTTGCGGGCTTGATCCCCAGTGTAGGGTATGCAGGAGGCAGCCGATCAATGGTTCTCTCTCATCATTGATGTTTCTCTCTCTCTCCCTCCTCCCCCACCCCTCTCCCATCCTATTCCTTCCTCCCTTAAAAAAAAAAAAAAAAAAAGCATAAATTTTCAAATGACTGATCAGTGCTCAATAAATATTTTATTACATTTATTCTTAGAAACTTGAGCATAAAAGCAGCTTTTATATAGCCCAAAAATATTTAAGATAAAGCTAACAAACATTTTTTCTTTCCTTAATGATTAACTAAGGCAGTTGAATAAAGTAGTGACCAAGAAACATACACATTTAAAAAAATATATTTTTATTGATTTCAGAGAGGGAGAGGGAGGGAGAGAGATTTGAAACATCAATGATGAGAGAGAATTACTGATTGGCTGCCTCCTACACGCCCTACATTGGGGATCAAGTCCACAACCCAGGCATATGCCCTGACTGGGAATCAAATCGTGACCTCCTGGGGTTCATAGGTCCATGCTCAACCACTGAGCCATGCCAGCTGGGTGAGAAATATATACATCTTAAAAAGAAATAAGACACATCCACAATTTCTGAATTCTCATGTTTTCATTTCTATCACATAAAATATGCATATTTAATTCTTATTCTTTCCTACCATTAAGGTATTATCAAAGTTACCTAAATTTTAAGTCACTAGCATTTTATAAACCCATTATGTAAGTAAAATTGGTAAAATTCTAATAAAAATGCATTTTAAAATACCTGCACCAATCATGGTGATTGGAGATTCAATATATATCCATTCATCAGTATATATTCCAGAATGAACAAAGATAAGTCCATCAAAATGAGCTTCTTGTACCCCACCAAGGGCATCTTCAATTGTATCATATACTAGAAAAATAAAAGTGTCAATATAGAACTGAAAAATTACTATTTTAAATCCCATAAAAATACAGATCAAACATACCAACATATTTTCTCTTCCTTTATATCTTGCAGGGTTACTGTAGAAATGTTCAGCAAATCCTGGCTTTACATGTGCACCTTTATACTTAATGTCAAAAAAAAAAAAAAAGACATTACATTTTAAACTAATTTAGTACTGTATGAATATTTTAAATTAAATATATAAAAAATCAATTATTTCAACTAATTTTCTGTTGCATAGTGCAATGTAAAAGGTGTTTCAGATTTTACATTATTCAGTACTATCCAGTAAGAAAGGACAAGGATTCTCAATTTCAGCACTACTAATACTTTGGAACAGACAGTTCCTTTGTTGTGGGGGCTGTCCTGTGCATTGTAGAATGCTTAGTAGCATTCTTGGTCTCTACCCACTAGCTACCAGTAGCATCCTCTTCTTGTTGTGATAATTAAAAATGTCTCCAGAAGTTGTCAAATGTCCCCTGTGGAGCAAAATCATCCTAGTTGAGAGCCATTTGTAAAGGACTACATAAAAATTACGCTAAAAGTGAAACTTTAAAACAACTATTGAACTCCAATAATTTAAACAAGAGTTCAAACAGACCCATAGAAAGTATTAACTGCTTCTAGGCTACTGATGTTTACTGTCAATGTTTAGATTATTATGTCAGCAGTGAAATTGTTGAGTATTTTGTTGGTTGATAAATGTGCACTGGCTTGAAACCTATTCTTGAAATTAATTAAAAAAACACACCAACAAATTTAATTAGCTCGACTGGCGTGGCTCAGTGGTTGAGCGTCTACCTATGAACCAGGAGGTCATGGTTTGATTCCCAATCAGGACACATGCCTGGGTTGCGGGCTTTATTCCCAGTGGGGGGTGTGCAGGAGGCAGCCAATCAATGGTTCTCTCTTATCATCGATATTTCTCTCTCTCTCTCACTCTTCTCCCTCTCTGAAATCAGTAAGAAAAACAAAAAACCCTTAATTATTTTATTTGATGTCAGGTTAAATGTCTGTGTTTGTTCAGTGATAAATATTCCTTTGTAGTATCTATTACTTCATCAGAGTCATTACACCTGTCATCATGACTGCAGCAAAATGTCTCTCTCAGTAAGTCATGGAATACCTGGAACATTCCCCTTTTTCATAAGGTTCACAAGATAAGTTTATATGACAATATAAATATCTCCCTGCATGAGTTTAAATTTTTTTAGAAAGGAAATTTTATCTCCATGTATATTATATACATGAGTCAATATTTTCTATTTTTTTTAAAAATATATTTTATTGATTTTTTACAGAGAGGAAGGGAGAGAGATAGAGAGCCAGAAACATCGATGAGAGAGAAACATCGATCAGCTGCCTCCTGCACATCTCCTACTGGGGATATGCCCGCAACCAAGGTACATGCCCCTGACCGGAATCGAACCTGGGACCTTTCAGTCCGCAGGCCGACGCTCTATCCACTGAGCCAAACCGGCTTCGGCAATATTTTCTATTTATACTTCATACCAACTGCTGGAAACTCTCTTTCCAAGGATTTGGATGTTCATATTCTTCTGGATTAATCTGGTAGAATTTGCCAGGTTCAGGATGCATCATAGGACGGGTATATTCAAATACTTCCATATATAATCGTTTCCTGAAGGTGGGAAAGGAATTAGAAGAGTTATTCATAAGTAGCCTTTTAAATAACTACAAAAAATTATTTGAGGACTAAAATAGTTTACCTTTAGCACCATACAAGCTATTGTAAAATATAGAAAAGTACAAAGAAAGGAGATAACCTACACTTTCAATACATTATTATTAACAGCTTACTATATTTCCTTTCAGTCATTTTTCCCCCCTTTTAGTTATTTTTATCTACAGTTAGTTTTCATTTGTTACAGTTGTGATTTATATAGCATTCAAAAACAAAAATTTGTATCCTGCTCTTTTCACTTTTTATTTATTGGTTTTCGAGAAAGAGAGGAGAAAGAAAGAGGAAAATGAGGGGGAGGGAGGGAGAGAGAAAAAGAAACACTGATTTGCTGTTCCACCCATTAATGCATTCATTGCTTGTTTCATGTATGTGACCTGACTGGGGATCGAACCTGCAATCTTGAAATATCAGAACAACATTCTAATCAACTGAACTACCCAGCCAGGGCACTTTTCACTTTTTACAACATAGCATTTTCTCATGCTACTAAAATCTGTAAAAAATCACTGTTCATGACTATACCCCAACCCTCCAAGCAGACATTATATTGTGTTCACTTAAGTCCATTTCCTTATTGCTAGATCTAATTTCTAATTCCCCCCACTATTAACTATGACATTATGAAAAATTTGTACATAGGCAAAAAATTTTTCAGAAGTGGAATTACTGGGTCAAAGGGCATGCATAGTTCAAGGTCATGAATATAACTATCGAAGTATTTTCCAAAAGTGATATATAAAATTCACTAAACTATCAAATTTAATTAGTTAGCTGTTTTAAATTAGACTTAGTTCAGTGTTTTGTTTTTTAAAATATTTTTATTGATTTCAGAGAGGAAGGAAGAGGGAGAGAGAGAAACATCAATGATGAGAGAGAATCACCGATTGGCTGCCTCCTGCACGCCCCTTACTGGGAATCAAGCCGGCAACCTGGGCACATGCCTGTGACCGGAATGAAACCTGGGACCCTTCAGTCCACAGGCTGACGCTCTATCCACTGAGCCAAACCGGCCAGGGCCTTAGTTCTGTATTTTTTTAAAAAAAATATATTTATATTGATTTCAGAGAAGAAGGGAGAGGGAGAGACAGAAAATATCAATGATGAGAGAGAATCACTGATCAGCTGCCTCCTGCATGCCTTATATTGGGGATTGAGCTTACATCCCGGGCATAAGTCCAGACAGGGGAATTGAATTGTGACCTCCTGGTTTATAGGGTGATGCTCAACCATTGAGCCACACTAACCGGGCTTAGTTCTGTTTCTTAAAAGCAATTCAATGAAATACATTTTATATACTCAGTTGCTATTAACTGATAAATAGCAGAGAAAGTACTTCATTTATTGTTTTATAAATATTACCTAAAGTGACAACTCACATTTGTGATAAATAGGTAACTTAGAATTTACAAGCAATCTAATTTTATTCTTATTTAATTATAATCAACACTTCAACCTCCCTAGCATTTCAAGCATTTTGGGCACCAAATAATATATCTCAAGATAATAAGAAATAAATTTTCACTTACCACAAAATTGGATCATTAGCAAGCTCACTGAAGCGTTTACACACACAAGCTGCTCTACAAAGATCCTGTTCCAGCAAGTAAGAGAAGATTTTTAGAACCACTTCATCTGGCAGTTTCTCCTGAAGATACTGTTCAGCAGGTGCTGCTATAAAGAGATTAACAAATAAAATATAAACAACTTATTTATTGTGTTAGTAATGACTTCCCCATTTTTTAAAAAGCATAATTTTCGCTCTGGATAGTGTAGCTCAGTTGGTTGCATTGTCCTGTGCACTGAAGGGTGGTTGGCTTGATTCTAGGTCAGGTCACATACAGGAAGCAGCCAATCAATGTTTTTCTCTCTCTCTTTCCTTCCCCCCACTCTCTAAAATCAATAAAAACATATCCTCAGGTGAGGATTAAAAATAAAATAAAAAGCATACTTTTCATTTTATCTAACTAATAGTTTTTATTTTGTGATGACAATCTTTTTTTTTTTTTTAAATATACCATTATTGATTTTAGAGAGGAATGGAGAAGGGGAGAGAGAAAGAAACATCAATGATGAGAGAGAATCACTGATTGGCTGCCTCCTGCTACCCCCACACTGGGGATTGAGCCCGCAAACCAGGCATGTGTCCTTGACCGGAATCGAACCCGAGACCCTTCAGTCCACAGGCAGATGCTCCTCCTACTGAGCCGAACTGACTAGGGCAACAATCATCTTATAAACATTTTTTTTCATAGATAGCACATTTATTTTTGTTCATCTTGACATAAGTATTCTCTTTTAGCTATTACGTACCATTTTAGAAACTGGTGAAAATATACAAAAGGTTTTTTATATTTGGGTTAATTCTCACTCAAGGATATTTTTTTTCCATTGATTTTTTTTTTCTTAGAGAGAATAGAAGGAAGGGAAGGAGGGAGAGAGACATCAATATGAAAGAGACACATCGACTGGTTGCCTCCCATACAACCCCGATGGGACTGAACCTGCAACCCAAGTATGTGCGCCCTTGACTGGGAATCCAATCCATCCATGGGCAGGCCGATGCTCTAACCACTTCACCACACTGGCCAGGGCACAAGGCATATTTCATTAAAACACATTTTTTTTTTAAATTTCAGAGAGGAAGGGAGAGGGAGATAGAAATATCAATGATGAGAGAGAATCATTGATTGGCTGCCTTCTGCATGCCTCCTACTGGGGATCAAGCCTGCAACCTGCGGAAAAGTCCCTTGACCAAAATTGAACCTGGGACCCTTTAGTCCATAGGCAGACACTCTATCCACTGAGCCAAACCGTCTGGGCCACAAGGTGTTTTTATTTTTTAAATATATTTTTATTGATTTCAGATAGGAAGGGAGAGGGAGAGAGAGACAGAAACATCAATGATGAGAGGGAACCACTGATCAGCTGCCTCCTGCACGCCCTGCAACCCGAGCATGTGCCCTTGACTGGAATCGAACCTGGGACCCTTTAGTCCATAGGCAGACACTCTATCCACTGAGCCAAACCGTCTGGGCCACAAGGTGTTTTTATTTTTTAAATATATTTTTATTGATTTCAGATAGGAAGGGAGAGGGAGAGAGAGACAGAAACATCAATGATGAGAGGGAACCACTGATCAGCTGCCTCCTGCACGCCCTGCAACCCGAGCATGTGCCCTTGACTGGAATCGAACCTGGGACCCTTCAGTCTGCAGGCTGACGCTCTGTCCACTGAGCCAAATCAGCTAGGGCAACACAAGGTATTTTTATATAACAAAGACAAAGAGGGAGAAGTCATAGTTGTCATGTTAATCTATAGATATAAAAGCCTAAGTGACCACACGACTGGAGCTGCCCCTGGGTGGTCAGTGTACTCCCACAGCGGGAGTGCCGCTCAGCTGACTGATGGGTGCCAGAAGCAGGGTTCATGGCTGGCGAAAGCTGCTGTGGCAGCGTGAGCCTCACCCAATGGGGCCTGACTGGGCGCAAGCCTGTGGCGGCAGGCGCTGTGGGGCTGGGATGAGCGGGAGCGGCAGGCAGGAGTGACAGGTGGCGTTGGACTGTGGGTTTTGGCCCAATCCCCGCAGGCCACGCCAAGGGACCCCACCGATGTATGAATCTGTGCATCGGGCCTCTAGTTCTATAATAATCATTTTCTCAATCACAAATGTAATACTAAAGTACATTTAATTTTAATATTTTGGTATCAAACAAAATAAAAAAAGTTACTTGACCCTGTCCCTTAGTTTTCCCATAGGAAATACCTGCAAGATCTTGTGTTTTTCCAGATACCCTTGCACGTTTTGCACGATGACCAAAGTTTTCTGTCGTTGAAGTTGAGGCACCCTTCAAAAACAAAATGAAAACTAATTAAGCAAATATTTTTATTACTTCTAAAAAATGACATTCCCTTTCCTTTTTTGTTTGTTTCCTAACAATTTTTTCATTACAAAAAGAAAAGCAGTGACAATTTACCTCCATACTGCTCTTTGTAGGACACGCTGTTCTTTTCGGCAAAAGAGTTTTTCTACGAAGCTGGTAAGGACTGTTTTGTGCACCAGGACCTGATTCTTCTGCAACCATATCTGCAGGTACATCATCATCTGTTATAAACAAAAGCAATTATGAAAAATGACATTCTATATAATAAAAGGCTAATATGCAAATTGTCCCCTCGACCGGGGAGTTCGACCGGAAGTTTGACCAGGGGGCGGGGCCAGCTGGCCAACCGCCCTCGGACCCTCCCCTGGCCAGCCCTGTCCCCAATAGCCCCCTCACCCCAATCGGGGCAGTTCAGCCAGACCCCACCTGTGCACGAATTCATGCACCAGGCCTCTAGTCTATTAAAAAAAAAGAGCTCTATAGGTGCAGTAAACTTTTTATTTTATTTTTAAATATATTTTTGATTTCAGAGAGGAGAGAGACAGAAACATAAATGAGAGAGAATCACTAATCAGATGCTTCCTGCATACCTCCTACTGGGGATTGAGCATGCAACCCGGGCATGTACCCTTGAGTGGAATCGAACCCGGGACATTTCAGTCCATGCTCTATCCACTGAGCCAAACTGGCTAGGGCTGCAGTAGACTTTTTAAAAACTTAAAAAAAAAATTTTTTTGTGGTGGTGGGAAATACAACTTTTATATAAAATTCCAGCTAACTAGATAACCATCTGAATGAAATGTTGGCTTTTTATTTTATTTCTTATTTCAAAATAAATTCCAAAATACACCATATATTTAAATACAAAAAGGAAACAAAATCACAAGAAGAATATAGAAAAAAATAATTTTTTTATAACACTAAAGTAGAGAAGTTCTTTCAAGGTTATGACACAAAACTTGGAAGGCATTAAAAAGAAACAGGTGATGAGGATGTTCACTTGATCAGAGGCTTGAGAAGGGGAATGAGTCATGGCTAGAGCCCACGAGGGATGGGAAGGGCAACCAGGCAAGGGGTGTCAGAGTCAAAGCGGGTGAGTGAGGAAGATGTCGACAGATGGACAGCTTGGTATAAAATATCAGATACCAAGAAGGATGAAAAGAGCATCCACACAGAGAGTGGTCTGGCACAGGGTGTTGGAGTTCAAGAGGAGAAAAAAGAAGTCTGCATGGATGGCAGGGTGGTCCTGGAATGAAGAGTCAGAGAGAACAGGGAGAAAAGGGTGTCACACAGCAGCAGGGATGATAGACCTGGAAGACTGGTTACATACAATACAGGAACTAAGCAAATAAATAAGATAATGGAAGCCAGATATCTTCTGTCAGAGAAGAGAGTTAAAATTAAAGAGAGAAAACTAGAATAAACTCTATGTTGTTAGACTAGAACCGAAGGCATCAACATAGAACTCATGATTTTTAATAGATATAGAAATGATTATAGATCTAAGTGTTTGGGTGTGTGTACGTATATATGTCCTCTAGCTCTGTTCACTGAGAGAGAGCAAGCCTAGAAGCAGTGACACTCCAATACCACCAATGAGCGTGAGTAGCATTTGGAGCTTGGCTTCTGAATAGCATTTTCTTCTTCTTTTTAAAAAAAATATATTTTTATTGATTTCAGAGAGGAAGGGAGAGGAAGAGAGAGATATAAACATCGATGAGGAGAGAGAATCATTGATTAGCTGCCTCCTGCACGCTCCCTATTGGGGATCGAGCCCACAACCTGGGCATGTGCCCTTGACCGGAATCAAACCCAGGACCCTTCAGTCCGCAGGCCAACGCTCTATCCACTAAGCCAAACTGGCTAGGGCTTGTTTTTTTTAAAATTCTAACCTGAGGATATTTTTCCATTGATTTATTTTTTATTTATTTTTTAGAGAGAGTGGAAGAGAGAGGAAAAGACAGAGAGAAATATCGATATGAGAGTAACAGAATGATTGGTTGCCTCCTGTATGAGCCCTGACCAGGGACTGGGCCGGGGAGGAGGAGCCTGAAACCCAGGTATGTGCCCTTGACCGAAATCGAACCTGGGACCCTGCGGTCCACAGGCTGACACTCTATCCACTAAGTCAAACCAGATAGGGCTGAATAACATTTTCTACAAAAGAAATAAAAGTTCCTTGGAAAAATGGCAGATTCCAGATTGGGGGAAATATAAGATGAGCCTGAAATACCTTGTGGTAGAAATAAGAAAGTGCTAAAAGAATGATGAGGACATGTCAAAAGGACTCAGAAGTCAGCCTGAATGCTCACCCTCTAACAAAATTATGTTACAGCATCAAAATTCATGATAGTAAAGGAATTATAACCCACTGAATGAACAGCAACCCATAAATTCATACTGCTATAAATAAATGAATAAATTGAATAAATAATGGGATGTTTAGAAAAAACTTTAGAAAGGGGAAAACAGTAACTCTATAGTAGAGATGTCAATCAGATAGTACCTTAATCAAATGATCAAAGTGAATATCATCATTAATAGGACAAACTGAAATGGTGTGCCACCTGATAGCAGCTATATTCCGCAGCATAACCCAAATCTAATTGTGAGGAAACATCAGACAAATCAAATTTGTTCTAATTTATTTTGAATCATCTTCAAAATTGTCAAAGTTATGAAAGTCAAGGAAAGTCTGAAGAACTGTTCCAGACTGAAGAGATACGGCAACTAAATGCAATGTGTGGTTCTGAACTAGATCCTTTTGCTGAAATGTGGCTATTAGGACCAATAGTGAAACTTAAATGCGGAGTCTAAAGATTAGAAGACAATAATTTGTCAATGATAACTTTCTGACTTTTATAGCTATAGTATGTTTATTTAGAATAATATCCTTGTTTGTAGGAAATACAGACTAACAATAGGAGGTGACAGGACAACAGGTTGGCACTTATTCTGGAAAGAATCAGGGGGAAAAAACTAACTCTTCTCTGAGTTTAGATTGTTTTTAAGTAATACATTTGAGTAATATATAAAATATTAAAAATTCTGCTTGGAAAATTAACACCATAAACAGTTAAAAGAAGCAACACAATTAGGAAAAAAAATTGCAACAAATGTCACACAAATGGGTAATAATTTCCTTAATTATATATGAGTGTCTACAAATAAATAGGGAAAAGATCAATAATTCAATAGAAATTTGGGCCAAGGCAAGGACATGAACAGATAATTCAGAATTAAGAAACTAGAAATGAAATGCTAATAGAAATGAAAATGAGATATTTTTCATATAGCAAATTATCAAAGATAAAAAGTTTGGTCACATATTAGTATTATGAAAGGAAAATATGAAGGAAAAAGAGTTCTTAATTGCTCTAAGAAGAGCAATTTGGCAATAGCTATTATTACTTAGCAATTCCATTTCTAGGAATTGATTCTGCAGCTATATTCACACATGTGGACAAAGAAGTATGGACCAAGATTTTTATTGCATACTGTTACCAATACTAAAAGGTAACAATCAAATGTTCATCAATAAGGGTTTGTTAAATAAAAGATGGTCTAGCTATACAATAAACTATTATGTGATAATTACAAGATATAAAGCAGTTTTATATAGACTGATAAGGAACTATCTTTAATATATAGTAAGTTTAAAAACCGAAATATACAGTTTTTAGTGTGTGTGTGTGTGTGTGTGTGTTTTAAGGTTATACATACATATTCTTACATGTGTATATATTTACTAAAATATAAACTCCATGATGTAAGGAGCTACCCACTGGCCAAAGATGGGACAATTTGAGCATCATTAAGAATAAATGGAATGAACTAAAAGAGATATATTTAAATCCGTGAGTTTATAATGATATTTTAAAAAAAGGTTACTTTCAAAGATGCTACTAAAAACCAACTCATCTTCTGAAAATTGGAAAATAACAGGAAATAATCAAATATTTTTTCTTTTCTTATATAAACCGAACCATCAAGTAACCAAGTAAGAAATGAGGGGAAGCTTCTCTACAGAAACATTCTAGCAATAAATAAAGAATAAGAAAATTAGAAATAATTTGCAAACTCTAAAAGAGTTCATGGATTTAACCAATGAGTATTAATAAGTCCATAATATCATAAAGAGAGTAACAATCAGGCACTGTATATCTCCTGATGAAAGAACACATCACCACCTCTTTGACAAAACATCAAATCTGAATCTGATCAAACCTGTAAGAAACTTTAAGGTCAAACTATACAGTACCAGTTTCATCAACTAATAAATTGCATGGGAAATAAGTGGGGGAAAAATAAGCAAAACTAAAGCATTCTGTTTATTAGGTGTACCAGTTAATAATGCAGACTTTTTTTCAATAGATGGTGTTACACATATGTTGATATATATGCGATTTGATATGTATGCTATTTTGTTGTATTGACAACACACTTCAAAACTTCATATGTCAAATTTGCTGAAGGTGTTAACATCATAGATATTTTTACACTTAAAAATTTCGTGCAAAAAAAGAGCATTTGCGGGAAGTTTTAATTCATTATTTTGAAGAAAAAGTTATTGTATACTTCGGGAAGCTTATGGTGAACATGCTCCATCTCAAGATACTTGTGAACGCTGGTTTAAATGCTTTAAAAGTGATGATTTCAGTGCGAAAGACAAAGAACGTTCAGGTCAACCGAAAAAGTTTGAACACCAACAATTACAAGCATTATTGGATGAAGATGCGTGTCAAACTCAAAAACAACTTGCAGAAACATTAAACGTTGCTCAGCAAACAATTTCCGATCCTTTACAAGCAATGGGAAAGATTTTAAAGGAAGGAAAATGGGTGCCACGTCAACTGAACAAAAGACAAATGGAAAACCGAAAAGTCATCAGTAAAATGTTGCTTCAACGGCACGAAAGAGTCTTTTTTTGCATCGAATTGCGACTGGCGATGAAAAGTGGATTTATTTTGAAAATCCCAAATGCATGAAGTCATGGGTTGATCCAGGTCAACCATCAACATTGACTGCAAGGCCAAATTGCTTCAGAAAGAAGACAATGCTCTGTGTTTGGAGGGATCAGGGAAGGTGTGGTGTATTATGAGCTTCTAAAACCAGGTGAAACCATTAATACTGATCGCTACTGACAACAAATAATCAATTTGAACCACGCGTTGATCGTGAAATGACCAGAATGTTCCAGAAGACATGGCAAAGTAATTTT